CCAGCTTAACTCCAGGAAAGTTATTGACTTTAGAGGAAAAATTTATGAATTCTTAGTTTCCAGTTTTTTTTTTGCTAGAAATATTATCTGTTCAAATTAGGCGCATTAGCTGCTCATTAATTTTCACTAACGTATCTGAATATATAGGCAAATCTCTAGAACCTTTAACCTATGGTGTCTTCAAACTTTTCTTATAAATATATTACATAATAAGGGAAAATTAATTCTAATAAAATTACAGGAGTAACTATGCATTACTAACTTTAAGATACGTACAGTTTTGATCGCGAGTAACTTGTTTTTGACCTCCATTTCTTACTTCAATCCTACGTTTGACGACTTTTCAGGAGTATCGCTTAGAGAGTTTAACATATTTTTTTTTTCAATATGTATTCTGTTTAAAAGGAACTGAAAATCACTAAAAACATAATTAAGTGTATCAGCTGTACTATAATATTTTCTTGAATGATATTTTTCGTACATATTGACGTTTGCAAACACTTCAAGTTTGTCGCGAAATTTTGGCACGTCAAACCGTAACCATCGAAAATTGAAAAAAAAGGTATACAATCCAATTCTGCAAGTTTTATGTTAGTGATATTCCAAAAGCTTATTTAAAGTAGAACAAACTTGTATCATTATTATAGATGAATATTTTTATTTGCAGTAATTATAAACTTTCGAATTTATCCCAAACTGTCATTCGGTGAGGTAGCAGTAACGATGTCAAGACCGTAACCTGACGCAGATCTAAAATGTAAATGTTAAAATCAATAAAAATTTTGATCACACGTTTGTCATTGCCCAATTTATTTTCTGTGTTGTGTGCATCGCATTGCGTTGCATCTGAGTAAAGTTTTCGATCTATTCCCTAGGTTGTCCAGACCCTGTCAAACCGTAACCACAGGATTAATTAATTGAATTTAACATATCAGAACTTAGTTTTTTCCCTATGTTTTATTAATTGAAAATATTTTTTGACTGAAAATAATTAAAGTAGGCCTTTTTATACATTTTATAGCAATTTAACTTAACATTAAAATTTTTCAATTCACATATGATACTAATAATTTTTGATGAAAAATAAAGGGTAAATAAGGAAAATTCAAAAATTTTAATATTTTGTTTATACTTATAAGGGCATCGAAATTTTCGATGTTCGCGATTATTTTCAGATATTTCATACGTTTTCAAACAATCCTGGAGGTTTAAAATAGTGTGCCTATATATTTTTTTAAACTTTTTTTTTAATCAAAAAGTTAAAGGTTCTAGAGATTTGCCCATATACATATATTATACTACATTAAATAAATAGAGGACATTTTAAGAATTTAAAAGATATTATGTTTTAAATAAAAAAAAGTGTGATAAAAATTTAATCAATTACTTAAAAGATTTTACTAAAGACTCACGAAGTGTGATTAAAGTGATTCAAATTTTTTACTTTCAACCAGTTTTTTCTGTTAATGTAGATTTTTTTGTTTTGCTTTATCACAAAGAATGAATCCATTTTATGTACACATGTTTTGTTATTTTTGCACAAACTTGTTCTAAAATGTCATTATAATCAAGTTTTTAGAAAGACTTTCGTTATGCGAATATTATTTTATTTTACATAATTTTATCTATAAAAACGTGAAAACTCTAATTATGTAGACAATAAATCTGCAACAACAACGAGTTAAATTTATTTTAAGCACAAACGTTATACATTTTGATACATATATACATTTAACAATATATCCTTCGAAGAACTTGAACAATAATATATATACTCTCGGAAATTTATTCTTTAAATGAAAATTCCAAAATAAAGAATTTCTAACCCTTTGACGCAGAGTAGACACCGGTGTCCATTTATATATTCTTTCTGATGTTCTAATTGCAATTATAAAAAAGTCTAATAAATACTAAATCTAATAAACAGTCTAATAATCTGTTAGGTTATCGGAATTATATTTGTACAAAAATATGAAATCCAAAAAAGTACTTAGAAATTTTTTTCATTCATATTCAAAAATTTATCAATAATTGATTTTGTTGATTGATTGAAAGAAACTTCAATGTGAGCCAAGTTTGGAAGAATTTACCTTTAGCGCAAAAAAAAGATACAGGAGCTTTATTCTTTATTTCATAACCATAAATTATAAAAATGCTAAATATAAATTTTTTAAACTTATTTTGATTTAAACTAATACAAAAAAAGTATGAAAAATACGTTTAATAAAAATTCTGTGTCAAAGAGTTAACTTATATAAATATCTTACAATAATATTATCTATAATATGGAAACTTCTCAACAGTATGATTGCATATCTCTAACAATAAATGAAAATGCTTTTTTTTTTTTTTAAATTTTTGTGCTTCAGAAATTATTTTATCAAATATCAAATATTTTTTGCTTAAAATATGTAGTTTGTGAAAATGCAGAAAAAGATTTACATTTAAAATATTTTTAATGATTATTAAATTAAAAATAAATAAATGAAAATCATTAAATTTATGTTGCATGCATTTTTTTTTGTCCATAAAGTTTTTAAAATAAGTGCTGATATTTTTCTGATAGTACAATTTGTTCTACACATAGGCCAAAGTATGCAAAAAGTGAAAAGTTAGAATGTGAAGTTTCGATACTCTACAAATGCAATAATTTGTTTTAAGTTTCGGCTTTCTTGGTATAAGATTCAAACTAATCATGCCAAAATCTCGCAGTCATTGGAGATACATGGTTATTGAACTTGTTAGTTAATTTCTTGCTTTTATGGTGTTACTGGAACTTTGTTACATGGAATTTTTTTTTCTTCATTTTCACTAATCATAAGGTTTGGAAAATTTGAAAGCAGAGATAAAACTGAAGAAAGAAAGAGTTATTTAAGTTCATTTTCTTAAAAATAAAAATCAATATATTTTTGCATAAATTCCAATATACTTCGTTATCGGGAGCATTAATTGATGCTTAATTAGTCATATATTATCTAGAGAGTTTAAGTTTTTTAAATAAATCATTCTTATAATAGAAGAAGAGACAGTGAAACACTATTAACACACTATTAAATAACACTTAACTTTTACCAACATTACAACATTAATTATAGCCACTGAAAAATATTCACATAACGTTGAATAAAATTAAAGAGTAGCACCTCACAATTCTCATGAATTTCTACAGCCCAATACTACAGTGGTTTTTCTAAGCTTCTCATTTACAACGCACGTTTGTACTTTTAAAATATTTATATCTTTAACAAAACATATATTAGTATCAAGATCTGAATCTTGATTTAAAATTTCCCAGTAGGTTCTAAAGTTCTAAATTAAAAAGCATACTGCAATGAGTACGATTTCTTAATAAGCTCTTAATATTTCATAGATCATATCAATATCATAGTCTCTAATCTTTTCATTTATTTCCTTTTTCGAGAATTTTATTTTCTATAGGATGCCATTTCATGCATTCAATAAGCTCTAATTTGTCTTACTTTTTTTTACTTTACTTTTTACCAGCTAAATTCTATAATACGCCTTCTCATGAATGTAATCAGCTTTCATTTACACCGAAGAGCCATTAAATTATGACCACCCTGCTAATAACATGTAGGATCATCTTTAACCCTCAAAACTGCTAGCACCCGCCGTGGCATTGGTTCCACAAGGTGCTGGTAGGTAGTCTGAGGTATCTGGTACATAGCGCTCACCAACTGGTCCTGCAATTCCCTCACATTGCGAGGGGGTAGTATGTCAGCACGAATTTGGTTTTCCAAGTAGGACCACAAATGCTCTATTGGATTAAGTTCAGGTGAATTTGGGGGCCAAGACATGACTTGAAAGTCACTGGATTGTTTCTCGACGATTCGACCCTTATGACAGGGTGCATTATCCTGTTGGCAAACACCATTTCCCGCACGAAAAACTGTTGCCATGAATGGGTGAACCTGGTCTGCAACTATGTTCAAGTAACTTTTAGACGTCAGGGATTGTTCTATGAGGATTATGGGTCCTAATGTGCCCCATAAAAACATTGTTCCTGGGTGAGAAATCATGAAAACCTGGGCGAGCCCATTGTTATGGATGGAGGGTGGTCATAATGAAATGGCTCTTCGGTGGATATCTTTATGTTCAGCTTTTTACTAGTTTTAATCTATGGTATATGCTATGCAGTCTATAAGTTCGAATTGACCTTTTAATTTTTTACTTTACTTTTTATCAGTTAAATTCTATAATATACTTTCTCTTTCATGCAATCAGATTTCAGTTATATTTTATCTTCATTTTTCTTATTTTTTCAAACTAATTTTAATCTATAGTATGCCATGTCATTTATTCAATAAGCTCTAATTTGTCTCTTAATGTTTCGTTATTTTCTTACCAAACAACTTCCTTCTTTAGTACGTTATGTCATGCATAAAATAAGCTCAAATCTATCTCGTATCGTTTTGTTTCTTTCAGAATCCAGTATCTTCTATCCAATCAGTTCCAACTTATATCCTTATTTGTTTTTTATAGCTATTTTTTTTTACCAGTTTTATCTTTTAGTATTCTCTCGCATGGATTCGAAAAGCTCTAATTTGTCTCTAACTTTTTGTTAACCATCTCTTTACCAGTTCTATTCTGTAGGATGTACACCCCAGTATTTTAGCACCAATGTACAACTTTATATTTTATCCTTATTTTATGAAATTCATTCTCTAGTATGTATTCTGGTACATGCGATTAATTCTCAATTCCTTACCTTTTCGTTAATTTATGCGTTTTATTCTATAGTTTGATCTAAATTCAGAATTACAATAAGTCAAAAGAATGGTTCTAACTGTTTTTAATAAATGAAACTTCTAAAGAGAATCTATCACCATTTATTTAAAAACAGTAAATTGTTCTGCAACATTTCCTTTAAGTAGGTATTAAAACATTTACTATGTATATTTCTCATAATAAGCGAATCTCAATTTGACATCTATTATAAGTGCTTATGTGAATGAAAAACAAGTACAATACATATCACAATTTTCCGAAATTATTCATTCGTTTGAATTAGGTCAAACAATACATTATTTAAATTAGTTAACTCAACATAACGAAGCAAAATTGAGACTATGCATTATAACTGAAATATCTTGAAATTTTAATAACTTAGGTTTTGTTTTCACATAACACCTTTTGTAAAAATTATTACTGTAAAATCTAAAAAGTATACATTTCTTAATTATTGTTAAACAGCGTATTATAAAGAAGAAATGAAAATGCCAAAGCAATCCACAACTAATATTTAATATTTAGTGTAAATATATAACAGTTCACTGTTGAGTTTATGCTTTTAAAAGAAATTAATAAAAGTTTTCTCTTTTGGAAGTAATTCTAATTTAATAATGTCTTAAAAAGTACAAGTGCAATATTTGTCTGATTCAGCAGCAAACGCCATTCAAAACATTTACAACTTATCTAAGAATCCACTAGTCTCATATTTATAATTTCTCATCTCGATTAATTCATGCGAAACACGTTATTTATTCAAACAAAATGTACACTGAATCTTAAAATTATGTTTACATTAAGTTCATATAGAAACATTGAAGTCATGTAATTAGTTACTGACTTAATATACTTATAGTAAATTGAAAGACAATTATTAAAATTCACATAGCATTGTTCCTGGGTAAAATCCAATGAGATTTTGTCATATCTGACACTCTAAAAATTCAAACACTTAGCCATATTTGAAATTCAAACGTTTGCCTGAAAATTAAAAGCTGTGAGATTAGTCTGTTAAATTACAAGACATATTGGTATATATTACAGGATATATTGAAACAAATGGATATATGGAAAGACACATAACGATCCTGAAATTTTAAATTGTTCAGGCATACGGTTGAAAAGCTTCATTGATTACGCAAATGGCTCAAATTTTTCAAACAGATTGATGAAGGAGGGGGGGGGGAATCTGTATTAACTGCTTCTGTTGTCTTGACTACGGCATAGAGATCTTTAATAAAGCAAAATGCAAAACCGTGTTTCAAATTAAAGAAAAAGAGGATTATTTGACTATATACTCTGGTAGACGGCCGAAAGTTTTTACAGCTTTTATTACTTAATTACAATTATCTAAACGGCAATTCCAGTTAAGAAAAAAAATAACATGCAAGGTGTTCTGCAAAAACTGTCCTTATTATTAATTCTTAGAATTCTCGTAAAAAAACACTCGTTTATTTAAGAGGGAATAAAAGCGATTAATAATTTCTGAAGAAAGGGAATGTACAAAGCAACAAAACTTGTTTGGTTACCTGATAGGGAGATTATGAAAAGATGATTATTAGAAGCATCTTCAAGCTTTAACTGGCAATCAAAAATGTTTTCAAGTTTGGTACACCCGCTTACAATTCTTTGACAGATTTCAATAACAATTTTTTTCCACTCATTCAAATATTTACTTGCGACCCCCGAAGAGTATAGCTGTCTTTGGTTTTTCAAAGGACTCTAAAATTTTATAGTAAGAGTGGCAATTATAGAACACCTGGCATAGTATTTATTTTCAAGTTGAATTCATAACTGATAGCAACTGCGTTAAACTAGTTAAAACTAATATGAATGTGCAATCACTTATAATTCTTGCCTCCTTTTTAAATACCAACGAATACATAATCGATTTGTTTAGGGCCTTTGGGTACTTCCGTGTTTAATGTCTTCGTATTCAGAATTTTTTTTGTGTACTACGTGCATGACTCAATAAGTTTGTATAACCATTAAGTTTATAAAAGTGAATCATCCACCAAAATGCAATATGCTTCTGCATTCTTTTAAATTTTATCAATTACACCATAGTATCCGGAAATATATTTTTAAAAGTTCGCATTGCTTACCGTAGTAGTCGTAACACAAAAAATGCTAAAAATAAACAACTGTTATAATGTCATTATTTATCGTTTAAATAAATCATTATTTCTAATTATTGTTATTAAAGTAAGACAGACACATCTCGTAACGCATGTTTTACATTCTTGTTGTATGTGTTGTTTGTAAATCAACCTTAATTGCCATTGACGTTTGAATGAACCTGTGCTTTACTGGATGCGGGGAGCCTTTTTGAGCCGTTGTACTGTAAGCAGTAGAGCTGTTGCTGTGATTCTTGCAAAATTGATCACAACTGTCCTCACTGGATGTTGAAGTCTTATGCTTTCGGGCTGCTGACCAAATGCTGATGACATCTTCAGACTCTTGATCTTCCCAGCCCGATGAAGACATCACATCTTGCCCACTACTCAGGTCACTGGGACGAAGAACTTTCATGGAGTTGTCAGTAGACACCTGCGATGAACAGCTGTTGTTCTGGTGCCATTGGCGATGGAAATGCATGAATTGCAAAGGTGGAACACTGCAATTAGAGTAAGGACCTTTTTTACTTCTCGTCCATCTACTAAAACAATCGCAGCGCCTGAGTAAGCCTAAAAAATCACGCCGATATTGAGTAGTGAAAATGGCGTACAAAAACGGATTGGCGCACGAATTTAATGGATAGAAGAACACCAGCAAAATCTTTGAATTAGTCACATCAATCAGAGGATAACCAGAAACAGCTGTCATAGCGAAAAATGCAACCGGTGCCCAGCATACGAAATCCGTACTGACGAGTAAAGCCATCCTTTTAGCGACAGCCATATCGTTAGCAGTAGCACTGCTCTGGTGACGTAGCACAGTCATGTACATGCTAACGTAGCAGTAGAATATGAACAAGAAAGCTATCGAATTTGTGATTAGGAGAACCATTAAATAGATAACATCTTTGATCTCTTGATTTTTCATTGGGAGGCAAATACTTGTCCTTGCAAATCCATTTACTCCAACTAATGGAAGGAAGGCCATTGTTAGGGAAAATATCCACCCAATCGTCATTATTTTCATTGCCTTTCGCAATCTCAGACGCTTGTTTAGGTTAATGGCAAACGTGATAGCATACCAACGCTCGACGGAGATTATAGTAAGAGTAAATATGGAAAGCTCTGTAGCAAATACTGTCAGAAATCCTGCTACACTACATCCATATCCTAAAACATACAGAAAAATCGTTTTAATAAAAACTACACTTACATAATACATGAACACGATGAAACATTAAAAATAATAGAAAAATGGGTTATATTAAACTTATTTATTCCATAACGCCTTTGTAAGTAGTTCCTTAATTGTCTCCCATACCAAATCAATACCTCTAGGGGTACTAGATCAGAGAGTAATCTTGCTCTGGTTCAGGTCAAAGTTATGATTTGCTGAAGGATGGTGTAAATGCGTCCTCCCTGTAAATCGGGATGTGAAACATGTATGTTGTCTCCGAATCATCCTCAGGAATGTTTCCGAAACTGTCTTCAATATCCCACTGTGCAGATCTAATGTGACTTAAATAGAAGTACTAAAGTACCTTCATTGCCAATCCCTATAAAATCTGGAGTACAAATGCTTAGGTTTAATTAAGCTTTATAAAGCTTAGGATAAATTAAAAGCGTTATAGAAATACCCTCTCTCAAAATACATTCTGAAGATTTTAATAAAAAGAAGAAGAAAACTCTGAAGAAAATAACGTATTTGACTTACTTTTTAAGTCAAATTCTTCAAATTTTCAACTGTTTTTAGTTTCCCAGAAAATCTACGGAAGAGTTCTCTAATTTTTGAAAGAATAAGCTTATAAAGCTGGTCAAATACCTCCATATTTTATCGTCTCCAGAAAATCTCCAGAATGAATTTTGAAAACTTTCTCTAAAATGCAAGCTTGAAAAGTAAGTTATAAGCCTACGGAATTCATTTTCTTTAGTTTAAGCTGACAAGCTTCCTCGAAGAAATTAAGGAACTGGTAGCAAATTTTCTAAAAGAACATTTAAACAATTATCTCATTACTTTTCCAATTATTTAAGGAAATTATTTCTGTTAGTGAAACACTACGAGGGATTTTTGTTCTCAGAATTGGTAAAGTAAATTAGTTAGTTTTCAAGTATCGAATAATATTTATTGTACCAGTTTTTCTTAGCTTTTTAAAGACGTTGGTCACCTTACTTAAGAGCATAAGCGCCTCTTATATAAATATTTGCTAATTTTTACTAGTAGTATCAGACATATAAATTTTGTATTTATCTGAAAGTGAACTTTTTTTGATTGCTTGCTAACTGTCTCGGAGCTCATACTTCTAATTTTCCTGGGTGCTAGGCCTGCCACCGAATAAAAGTACCAAAGTATATTTTCCATTCCAGCTGCTTTTAACGACCCGCTCATTTTTTTAATTAAAAAAGAATTTGATACTTGTCTTTTCCAAGTTCAGGTAACAACTTTTAAAAGAAATAAAAGTTTGCATTATAATTGCAACTAACTACAGCCTAGAGGAAAATCTCCAAAAAAAGAGAGCGCTGGATTGTACATTAGTGGCCCGCCACTGTACAGCCAGCCAGAAACAGTCAGTATTGTCCCAAGCCACCTGTTTCACCAGTTCATCGGTTGATGAGCGCAATTAAAGAATTAAAAGTTTTCATTGCTCCTTCATGCTGTCTTGGGAAAATCCACCAATGAGGAATAAGCCCTTCTACATCTAATGACGTAAAGTAAACCTTTTTACCAGATGTTATTTATACTACCTAATTGTTTTTCCCAACTATTTAATAAAACCTCATAATGAATGGGAAAGAGGCCGGTTATGGCCTATGGTTTCCATTTACCTAATGCAGTGTAGTGTGATGAGTGCGTGTCAAAGTTTTGAAGATGAGGGGGGGGGAGGCCATAAACGGCTTCAGACACCCAGATAAAATTTAATGATTATGATGAGAATCTAGTGAAGTGTGTTTTGCTTGAAAAGCTCATAAAATGCCTGGCCATCTTCCCAAAAAAAGGTCAAAGCTAATGTTGATGCTTGCTGAAAAGTAAGACCTACTTGAACAAATTCTTAGCTTTTGCAGGATTGCCAGGAGCAAATAATACAAAAAGTGATAATAAAAGGGTTACTAAAGGGTTATTGCTAACTAATGAAATTGATAACTGTTTCACATTTTTCGCAGTTGATTAGAGAAGGTGCTTACGAATAATGTATTTGTTTTTAATATGAATAATTAGCAATGTAACTCACAGTGGTAGTTACGACTGAATAATGAAGGAGATAATAAATAAAAATGAATTGAATTTCTACCACTTATTACATTTATAGTGTCCTGCGGTTTCTCTGGTTTTGGTGAAAAGTAACATGGTCCTGGTTATGCCCACTTAAACAAGTGAAAAAAATTATGATCAGTTCAAAATTTATGACCCATTTAATCTTCAAGGAGACTAATAATTGTATGTAAAAAATTAGCAGATATTTTAGCGAAAACTTAAAAACTTCAAAATGGTCAATGAAATGTCTATCCAAAGTTTGCAAATAGTTTAGAGAAAAAGTAAAATCTTCAAAATATCTGAAGATATCTGAGAAAAATCTTTTTTTTAAAGATACTTAAAATATATTTCTTGTGAGGCTATATTACTTTTATATCTTCAAACAAACAAAAATATATAAAATATTTAATAAACTTACAAGAGTTTAAATGAAAGTCTTTAACTTAAGAAAAAATGTATACGTATCAACAGATGATAGATATTAAACTTATTTGGAGTTTCGAAACTCTTTAAGTCTCCTTCTTGCCAGTTACGATTTAATTTGGTGCACGTGTGCCAAATTCTATCAAATTAAGTTGTATTAATTTTATAGACAAAACTGGAATTGAAATTCTGCTATACAACTTAAATATCCTAAAGCATGTAGAAAAGTAAAAAAAGATATTTAAAATTAGGGATAACAGCATATCAGAAAATAAGACATTAAATCTTTTTTGAGTCAAGGTTTCTTTCAGTTTGGGATAAAATGAGAAATGTATTATTCATTTAGATTTATCTCAATTATTTTTCTAGACATTAATATTATAATTGCAGGATTTTATTAATAGATTCCAAACCAATAAGCGAAATAAGTTATAAATTTATCAAAATTACCCGCTGATTCATGATTAACGAATTTAAAGTAATAAAGCACTCTTATTATTAATGTATAACTAACTTAAAAATACTTTCCGATTGTCCATAACATAACTGACAATTAGAAAATTGAATTAAGAAATGAGAATTTTTCTCATCAAGTTTTAAAATTAGTTTCAAATTTCTTCAGAAGATGGCGCGGATAACCAAAAAATAACTTTAAAACAATGTTCTTGCGGAACAGTGAGATGAAGTCTGAGGGCATGCACCACAATATGCAGGATTGTTTTTGATAGATTTTTCGTTTTTCCAGTGATCAATGCCATCTAATGGCGGGTGTTGTAAAGAATTCTGAAGTTAAGTCGGAAAATAATCTGGTTTCCTTAACAAGATACAGAATACCTTTAATTTCTATCACCTTTCCTTTGATTTTTCAAATCGGTGGTCATTTGTGGGACATTCGTAATAACATGAAGGTATCTAATTTGCAGGTCTAATTAAGCTGTTTAAAATAATTGACTTACCGTGCTGCCAATCTATGGCATGATTAAAGTAAGCTCCCATACTGTGAAGATCCATTGCAGCAATCATGAATAAGTAGCAACCCATGCAAAAGTCTGCGAATGCTAGATTACACATGAGGAACTTGGAAACACTGCTGCAGGCTCCCGTGCTCAAGAGTACCACCATCACAGCCATATTTCCCATCACCGCTGTAATCACCACAAGCCACACGATTACTCTCAGCAACATATTACCCATGACATCTTCACATGGATTGAACGCATCTGGGTTGGGGAAACATTCCACATCTCTGTAGTTCTTGGATAACTGACCGCAAAATGCTTGTAGTTCGACTTCTGATATCACTGACACGGTTGTACCATGGAATACACCTTCGAACAAGTTGTCTGGAAAACCTTTTTGGATGTGTGGCTTTTTTGTTTGCAGATGCAAATGGTTTCCAAAAAATTCTTCTGTATCAGATGCATTCAGCCAGTAGTCCTGAAAGCCTATGTTGTTCGAAGATTTCGGTATACTGCCCCATTCAGCTCGACGCTTTGCTAGTCTGATTGGTTGCTTGCCGTTTTGTCTGATATCCTTAAATGGAATGGCATATTTGTAAATATTATTAGCTGAATTATGGTATCGCTTATGTTTTCTGTGCCTTCCTCTTGCAAATGGCACGTCAGAAGCACCAAATTCATTCCAATTGGGATCATTTTTGGTAATAGTAGACGAATCAGTTTGAGAAAGAACTCTCCTCTTTCTTGCAAATTCTCCAGTTTCTTCGCGATTTTCATATGTCGCCTCAGTTGGATTTTGATTACAATACATCTTTTCCATGTTTTCTTTGAAGGCGATGTATCTGGAAAACTCTTCAGGGTCATGTGTTGCCGGAAACTTGAAAGCACAACAGTGGTAAGGATAGGTCAATAGAGCTTGCTTGATGTACTTGAAGTGGTAAACTGATGGAAATACTTTTAAAGTGTAAACTTCTGTTAATTTCAGCATCTCTAATTCTTCTAGGCCTATTATTGGCAAATAGACAATGCTTGTATCTGACAGATCTCTGCAAAAAAAAAGAAAAGCCAATTAAAATGTTTCACTTCCAATAAGATATTTAAAATACAATGACAGGCTTGAAATTTTAAAAAATATATTTACTTCCAATTACACTAAGAGTATACAATACATTTTTCAATTGGTGGGTACAGTTGGTGAAATTTGACAGTAGTATGAGGTTAGAATAATTTCAAAAAGAATTTTCGAATAAAATTTCTTAATGTTCAGATTTTTGTGTAAGACTCAGTTCGCAATAAAGCCATCTTAGTCGATAGAGAATATTTGCAACTTTACATTAGTATGACAACCGATATTTTCAAGTGGAAGATAAACAAAGATTATTATTTATTTTTTTCCACATGCTTTTGTATGAATTTTGAAATCTTTTAATAGCTCGTACCTTTTACAACAATCGGTTATCCTATTCGTTAAATTTTCAGATAAAAACTATTGTAAGAACACCAAATTTGATTGCAAATTACTTTCGGGAAAAAAGTCGGTTCTTTTCTCAGAAAACTAAAAAAAAAGTTTTTTTTTGTGCTGACATATATTGGATAAAGTAACTTTTTATAAACTCAATGTTTAAAAACAATAACAGTTAATTGAAACCATTCTCAAAAGGGATTGAGTTTCTTTCAATTAGTTTTATTAGTGATATTTTATTAGTGATAGGGAGGTACGGTCAAACATTTATCGAACATAATTTTTTAAACTCTTTCATAAAACAATAGGATTTAAAACTAGGGATCATTTTTACCAGGTTAGTTTTTGTCATTAAATTTAGGTTTACGAGAAATTACGCTCATTTTAGCAAACTTTAGCAATGCCTATACAAAAGATGCTTGTTTTAAGCTAACTGTTTTTTAATCTGAAATTTGCGGTTCAAAATGGAGGGTTCTCCTCTTGATTAGCTAGGATATAATCATACATTAAGAACTTTATCCTTTTTAATTCCTGTTGAAAACAATAGCATTTTAAAAAGTGTCGTTCCTAAGCATTATTTATTGCGACTAAATCACAAGTTATAAGGATGTCATTAAGACAAGTATGTCATTACATTACATTAAATAATCTTGTTGCATATTTCATGTTCCCAAATACATTTCCTAAAAAATAATTTAATATAAACGATATTTATTTGTTATTAGTTTTGTTTTAATATTTTTCTCCATATTAAATAAATAGTAAGAAACACTGTCTCCGCTGTTTAGGGTTTTCAATTTATGTTTTGATTTGCTTCTCCAAAACTTTGATGGGGCACGGAAAAATATATAGGTAGTAAGACAGAAAGGAAAATTAACCTTTATAATTAGTTCAATAATCATTAATGTTAAACTCGTAAAAAATGATATTCTAGCCAATGTTGAAATTTTATTCACTAAAAGGAGAGTTTTTTATAAATTTATCTGTTTTTTTAATTTTAATTCAAATTTGTTCGAAAGTTAATGTACTTTTAAATGCTTTTTTCGCAAATTTCTAATTTTTTTGGTGTTAAATGAAGACTATCCATTGTTGAGGAAAATTTATTTATCCCTCAAGAGATCTTTAATGTAATAAACTCACGGTTGAACTAACGTTGAAAGTAAGAAAAAAAGGAAGGCGATAGATTGGGTGTTTGGTATAAATCTTCATTCATGCTGAAATTTTTTTTAAAAAAATAATACATTTTGTTCAAGATAGATAAGTTTCCACTTTTTAACTATTATAATAATAAAAGTTTCGTCAACGAGTAAAATTACTTCAAATTTATTTCGTTTTATCAAGTCATGCAAACTATATTCCTAAGTTGTTGTTTTATTTTTTAAGTGCAGTTGATTTGTTTTCAAATCCAGGTAAGCGTTAATTTTGCTCCGATTAACATATCGACCGAATATTCCTGAATGAAGTTATAATAATTGCATATTTTAGAAACAAAATGCTTATTTTTCTGGAAAATATGGACTTTTAAGTGAAAAAACTATGATTAATGAGAAACTGCCCTGGAAGGTTGCGAGTGGAGCGAGCAGGGCGTGGATTATCGGCAACCTCTCGGGGATGGTCGGCAACCTATTGAAACGGAAGAGCCAAAAATTACAATTTACAAAATTTCCTAGCTTTCAAGACATTTTTGCATAGCACTTGCTATATCTTCACCAGTTTAGCCCTGAGAGCGGTAGCAATCTTAACAGTTCTTCTTTGGGATCTTGGGACGACATATACCTGACGAAAAAGGTAACTTATACAGTGTCTTTTACGTCGCAAGACTCATCTATAGCAAGTGATAAGGCAGAAGTCAGTTGAATGTCTTCTACTTGCATATGTGTTACATTTGAAACATTTTATCAGTTCTATCTTGAACTGTTTTAGCAGATAATGGCAAATCATTGATTTTTTCATGATTTTTGCGTTTTTAAAATCACGAAACAGTTCTTTAGAGGCACGTATAAAACAATCTTTGACGGTACTCATCTGTGAATGGTTTTCCTCTTTTTGCAATTTCTAATGATTGAAATCGAATTATTAACGTCGACCGCGATATCCGACGATGACTGACTGATAACACGTTTAGAGTCTAGACATGTTTTCTAGACTCAAGACGCTGGCTGTTTGAGTGAGACGGATGTGGAATGCAATTGGATGAAAGATAAACATGGTCAAAAAATCTCATCTCTAAGAACAAAACAATTTTATCTCATCAAATTTATCTCATTGTTATCCCATTAGTTCAAATTTATCTCGATTAATTAACGATTATGAAAATAAAAGCTATTGAGAAATTGATACTTAAAAATATTTTTCTTATTTTTTAAGGGTTTTGATAATAAAATATTAATTTTTTCGTATGGAACTATAGAGTCGCAACTTTACATCAAAAGAGCCACATGCGGCTCGTGAGCCGCAGGTTGCTGACCCCTGTCCTAGTCAGTTAAAGAATTAAACTCCGCCTTTAAAATAACAAGAATTTTAAGAAATTCAAATTCAAATTATATTGTATTGAAATTTAATAGTAATAGTAGCTGTATTCTAGAGATTTGTTGTGGAATTTATGTAAGTACCAGAAGTTATAAACAATCGCCTCACAATAACTAAAACATCCTTAAAGTAATACAGTTTTCCGCGGTTGCCATGGAGTTTAAGATTTTGTGTAAGGTATCAAACTGTTCTTATTATAACGCAATATACATATTTTGCTTGGATGTATAGATTTCTCATTTATATGTATATCTATCATAAAATATTATTACGAATGGAATCAGTGAATAAAGCAATTAAGGACATTTCTATTTAAAGTAAAGAAATAGAAAAAGTTTACTTCCAACAAAAATACATCTATTTTAATTACAAGATATTTTTGTTTCATAATTAAGTTTTCAAACTCACATTGTTTCCCGTAAAAATGCTCCGTTTTAATTTAAAATGCAATTAAAATAATAACCAGAAACTTTGTTGAAAACATGAGCATATCACGGTTTTAATTATTTTTCTCTGTGTATATAAATTTGTGATGTCCACCGCCACGGTTTAGGACAGGGCTCGAAAAAACTCAGAAATTTTACGCGTCCCCGAGGACGGCTTGTCCAACAATATACCCATCCTCCTTTGAAACTAACCCGTCGCTTCTAAATAAATAAAAAATATAATTTCCTCTCATTTATTACAAACATTTATATAAATTGCACAATGAATTAGTAGTTACTAGGATTACATTATACAGTAACAAAAGAAATACTAGGTTACCGATAGTAACCTAGTATTTCTTTTATTAAATAATTTAAATGACAAAGGTCAAGTTATCTGGAATGTTAATTTATCCGAGGATACTGCGTTTTTTAAATGAATCAAATATGACGTTTGTCAGTTCCACAATCAAGCCAATGATTTACAGAGGTTTCAGCACAGAAATCTGAAAGGGGTTTTCCATTTAGATAGATGTTCCTAATTGCGTTTATAACGCTACTTGTTTAAAACCAGTACGTAATGTGTTTTTTTCTAAGTTCATTGCTGAAAAGCCCCTTTCAAGCGCTGCAGTACTCCCAGACAGAGAATACATCAATTCCACCAAATGCAGCATGTTGCTGTATTTCTAGATTAGAGGGTCATTTTAGAAGTGAAGCGCTAGACTCTTGTAAGATAACAAAAATTGAAAATGTATCAAGATCATTAACGGGAAAATGGCCGTCCGTGCGGACGTCGGATTCGAGAAATTCGTTGTCCGCGGAGAATTTTTGACAGCCGAAGACGGTTTTTCGAATCTACAGGAAGTTTGATGAAATAAGAAAATTAATGTTCGATTAGTAGTTTAAGAATTATTAACTGTTAAACTTGACGTAAAAATAGTCTTATGGGACTCGCAATTACAGAGTTGAAATACGACCATGCTGTAAGGACTATTTCTTTTCTGAGCATAGTGCGGTTCTTTTTTTCTTTTTTTCAAATTCCAATTTGTTCGATAATTATAATAGTTTTAAGTGCTTTTTTGCGATTTTTTTCTATCCTTTTTTTAGGTTACGTTTTGCTTTACTGCGCAAAAACTATAAGATTTCAAAACTCGAAATTGCGATGGATGCACAGAGAATTCGACGAAATATAAAAAATATCCCACGACAATTAGTTCGATAATTATTGACAGTAAAACTAGTAGGAAAAATATACTATGTTTTGTCGATCTGTAACCCATTGAAATGTAACTATGAAACTAAAATTCTAATCAAATAAGGAGTAATTTTTTATTGGCGAACTTAGAGCAATTTTTTTTCTTCAAAATTCTAATTTGTTCGAAATTTACTATAAATTTAAGTGCTTTTTCCCGAATATTGTTCGTTTTTTTCTTCTTTAAATATCGATTATACATTGTTGAAGCTCTAGTGTAGATGTGTAGCTTGTTCTAGTGTAGATGTCAATCAAAAGTAGCAACAAAAATAAGCGATTACATGTTGTCACATTCAAATCTTAACAATTATATTGAAATGTTTAAAAATAAAAATCTTGGTGATGAAATATTTCCGTAATTAAGTTGACTCGTCAATG